CTATTTGAAAATCTGGAATCTGAGGGTGCAAAAAAATCAAAATACTGAGAAAATCGCCTTTAAAGTTGTCCATATGAAGTTCTTAGCAATGCATATTACTAATCAAAAATTAAGTTTTGATATATTTACGGTAGGAAATTTACTAAATATCTTCATGGAACATGATCTTTACTTAATATCCTAATGATTTTTGGCATAAAAGGAACATCTATAATTTTGACCCATACAATGTATTTTTGGCTATTGCTACAAATATACCCCAGCGACTTAAGACTGGTTTTGTGTTCCAGGGACACGTATTATCATGGGTAGTTACGGTAGCAAAAACAATAGACTTGTCAACTTTTTAAAGTGCTTCCCATATCGTTTGTGTTTGATGTCCAATCAAACGCTACAGTATTTTGGCACACAGTCATCCTGCCAACATGAACATGTTGCGTTTCTTCAAAAAAACATACAACTTTAAGAAAATGCCAGCCAGACTAAATATGCAAGCAGTTGCATTCTGGAAAAGCGTGTTTTGTGCTGTGATTGCAAAATGAATCCATCTCAACTCAAGAGGTATTTGGAACGCATCAGGCCTATGCGGTATTTCAGTACTACAGTATTTGGTTTGGGTTTGATATCCAAAGTAAAACCTGCAGTAGCTTGTTATCTATAGGCAAAATGCAAACATCTATGAGTCTATAAGCACCAGCCGTGTTGCTTTTCTGTCCTTATTTGCTGTCTTTCTTTTCTTTGTAGCAGTCAAGAAGGTCAAAAAAGCAAAGAAAGAGCCAAAGAGAGTGGCAGGCAAGAAGCAGAAGGAGGCAGAAAGCACCTGCAGCCTGATGTCCGAGCTTCCCTTCGTGAACACAGAGGTCTGGAAGGAGCTGGGCTGTGAGTTCACACTTGCTCCTAGAACAACAGCAGAGCCGACTTACCTTTCAGAGCGGCGGTGCGATCCGGCTCCTGTAGGCTAGTCTCGTCTTCCAGGTGGAGGAATCATTGTGTTAAGCGCTGTGTGCAAGGCAGACAGTGAGAGAGCGGCGATGTTTGGTTGCCAGGCGAGATGTGGATCGTCCTTGTACCGCAGCTGCTCTTGCATTCAAATTTCCCAGCTGGCTACATGCTATGAATAAAACATTTGTTGTGCGGCGCCTCTCTCCCGGAGAGTTCAGCAATGCTTCTTCACGTTTGTCAGTGTTTGCTTCTCAATGGCGCTCACATTCTTAGAAGTACAGTCTGACTAGTGAACATGCTCCTGTTTCTAATGCAAATGATAAGGTCAGCATCAGAGTTCAAATGAATAGCAGCATAATTGTGAGTGAACTGAACCTGATGATCATGTTCTCCAGCATGATTTGAGATCTCGAGCTTCAGTCTGCCAGCCTGTACAGAGAGTCACATGATCAGTTTCACTCATTCACTGACAGTGGAAGCAATGCGCATTCATAACAACACACTTTGTGTTATATTACAGTGACATTAAATTACAGAAAACTAGTTAGTGTTTCTAATACAATTGGAAAAAGTAAAAGCAAATCTGACATTTTTCTCTTCTAACAAATGTGTTTTTCCCCTCTTTTGCAAAGTCATAGAAATGCTATCATGGATTTTTGCTATTAGTGCAAACTGAAATGCAAGAAAATGATATTTGTTTAAACCACTGTAGAGGTTTACCAGCTGTGACGACTTACTGAACGTGACGAGGGTCCGTCGGATTAGTCACCTAGAGATAGTGCACAACACCGTTTCACTTTCTGTGTATTTGCTGTGTAAATGAGGTGAAATGTTTGATTTTTGGTGCGCTCTCCGAATGCTTGTCTTTGTGTTTCAGTCTCCAGCGCAGAATCGAGCGTGAAGAAGAAGCGTAAGAGAGGAGACAGCGCTCGAGTGGAGAGTGAGGAGGATGGTGAGAAGAAGAAGAAGGAGACGGCTCGCCCAAACTACTTTGTCTCGGTGCCAATCACAAACCCAGAGGTACGAGCCGGAGCCAGTGACAGAGTCATGCTTACAGCAGAGCCTCTCATGTGCCATGCTGACAATAAATAATATCTCAATATGGATAATTAGACGATATTTAGCTGATTGTTTGTGTGCTGGTGTCTTGGTCAGTTCACAGCAGTGACAGAAATACGAAGCAGTTTTTGCGATTTTTTTTGGGGCGTTCTGACCTTTATAAGGACAGTTTTCTCTAGCCTTATTAGAGGTATGCATCATCTTTATGTCAAGTTCTTACATTTAATCAATAAATTCAGCTACAGTAAGACACTATAGGCTGTTAGCAATCAGATGAAATCAATATAAACAAAATCCATCTTTGCACAGCAGAAGTGGCACAGAAGCTGCATCTGAAGTGGCATTTAGATGTGTTTACATTGCAATTACAGTTGCATAAAGAATGCTATGTGATTAATGCTTTAAAATAGTGTTTTGAATATTTAAATAATGTTGATGAGCCCTTCAGAATGGAATGCAGTGGCTGTCTTTAAGAATGGATCATTGAATCATTGATTTGTTCAAATGCACTTGATTCTTTCAGTAGTGAATCACCACTGTGTTGCTCAGAGACACTCAACAGTTCTGCTGTGGCTTTGTGTGGAACTATTTTCACTGGTGAAACAGAGCAAAAACAGACAATATTGTGTCTAAAATGTAATTTGCTATATTAACTTTTTAATGATAATGTTTGTTGAACTGTTGTATAAAATCACATTTGCAGTTGTGCTGATATTCAGAAAAAAATAGCAAGCTTGCTTGTGACATGTTGCTTAACTATGTCATATAGAAATATAAGACAAAATCTCACTCATTTTTGCCTCCATATATTGAATATGGGGGTGATTCTAATATAGGCCACATCACACAGTGAATGCATGGACTCACATGGTGTGTGTTTTCGTTTGTGAGTGACATACTCAGTTTATAATGTCACCTTTAACATTGCTAAAACAACAGATTTGACATCCTTTCTGTTCATCCCAGTGTACATTAGAGAAACAAACTCTTCCTGTTCTTTCACTGTTAAACTGAAGCTGTGGCTTGTCAATAGTCAACTATGTGAGCACTAGAACATGATTCGTTTGATATCTTATGTTTTTAATGTAATAGTGATTATTCTATGATATGTTTGAGTTTTTTGTGTGCGTGTGTGCGCGTGTGTGTGTGTGCGTGTCTGTGCGTGTGTGTGTGTGTGTGTGTGTGTGTGTGTGTGTGTGTTTGTGTGTGTGTGTGTGTGTGTTTGTGTGTGTGTGTCTGTTTGTGTCTGTGTGTGTGTGTGTGTGTGTGTGTGTGTCTCTGTTTGTGTCTGTCTGTGTGTGTGTGTGTATGTGTGTGTGTCTGTCTGTGTGTGTTTGTGTGTGTTTCAGATCAAGCAGGTGGTGCAGGATGTGCAGAAGCTGCTGCTGGAGAAGGATAGTCGTCTGTCCCGAGCGCTGATACCTGTGGACACTCTACACATCACTCTACTGGTGACTCACCTGAGCACACAGGAGCAGCTGGATCTGTAAGATCACACACACACACACACACACACAGTGAACGCAGCACAGAGATCTTGACACATGTATTTCGCTTTAATGTGAACCACCCTACGGTGGAGATTCATACATGTTGTGTGTGCAGCAGGGTTGGAAGTTAACAGAGGTTTGGGGCAAAAATTCAAGATAAGGTGGCCAAATATGCCCCTGCCCAATTAAGCTAGATCTATTACAGCGGTCTCGATTAATGTGAAATGAACGAACGTGTCGATTACAGTAGATCTTCTCACATTGATTGCATCAGATTTCTTGTTGCACGTGGCTTGTAGTGTTGCACAGTATTATTGATCCCACACATTCATTTATCCCCAGTATAAATAACTGCTCTGATTTTCATGCTACTGGAATAAACAACGTGAAGCCTTGATTTTCTAATCCGTAAAAAGCAATAAACAAATGTAGAAATGGTTCTTAGCTTGTTTTGTCTGTAGCCAGAATCCCCACAAAACGTCCTATTAATCAACATTAAAAATCATTATTACAATATCAAGAGCAATAATCACCAGTAGTAATTTTGTTATGATATTGCAGCTTCACACTCTTAATTAGTTCCTGTTTTTAAGTGATAGGCTGTTTCCATTATGCAGTTTTTGTGTAGATGCATGTCTACTGCTCTGTCTTTGCAGAAACAATGGCTAAGCATTGAGATTGATTAAAGTATTTGACTTAAAAAAAACAACACAGAAACATTTAATGATAGTGTAATTATAAAAATTGCCCTTAAAAGGTAAAAAATGTCCCTGAAATCAATTCCAAGGGGCAAATATAGGCTCTTACTGGGAAAGTTAATTTCAGCTTGAGTCACTTCAATGTTGATTCAGTTCAGTAAAAGAAATCGTTTATAATAATAGTGCTATTATAATAGTAATATTTTTTACTCTGTTTTGTGTGGTCAGTCTTTGTTCCTGAATTACACTAAATGGAGATCTTGAACAGAGCACACTTGAACCCCAGTTAAAACAACCTTAAAGCATCAGCTTCTCTGTAAAGCAACAAATCATCCAAATCTAAGCTGTTTTATTGTCTTCAGAGGCCAAAAACAGATGTGAGATCTGTCAGAGCTGCATGCGCCCTCATCTCACACCACAGCAGTTATTATGGCATGCCTTCGCTCTCATTGTAATGAAATGGAAGAGGAGGATTGACAGCAGAAGCGTGCAGGACTTGTGAATGTTTTCTGTGTTTGTGTGCGCAGCGCTGCGTCTACATTGTCAGAGCTGGAGTCTCCTCTGAACGCACTGCTGGGGGGCCGGAGGCTGGTCCTGCCCTTCTGTGGAATCGGACACTTTAAACAGGAAGTGGCTTTCGTTCAGATCACGGAAGGAGAGCATCTGACCACACTCACGCTCATGGCAGGTACAACATTGCTCATCCGCTCATCTGTGTTCATGCTTCAGATGTGCCAGTCTGCCATTGGTCAGTCAAACTGACAGTCCCCCAAATTAGGTCTCTGCTAATACGGTGGTGTCCGTCAACAGTCGTGGGCGGGGCCTGTACAATGTGACGTCACTTTGTACAGAATCTGTGAACGGCTTGTTCTGAGACGCTGCTTGTGATTTATGGGTATTAAAAAAAAGGATTTTTATCATTATAGGGTGGTTGTGTTCACACACTGCCGACACACATTTTTGTCCAAATCACCATGTAAAAGTGAAATTTGCATAATAGGGGCCCTTTAAATAAAGGTTGAAGAGAATGATCAAATAACATATTCTTGATTTTATGTTATTTCACAAAACGTCCCAACTCTTCTGGAATCGGGGTTGTAGAATAAAATAGCAGATTGATTGAATTGCATCAATAAGCTCTTGTTGTACCTGACATACTTCAGTCCTTCAGACATATATGATGATGTTGACGTTTACACTCATTTAACATTACAGTGTGCGCCGCTCCATGCTGTGCATGTCAATAAAATCAGTCATGTTTTTTGTATCAGTATTTATAGCTCCTTTTTAATTTCATGTCAGTATCGTATTTCAGTGGAAACTTACTGTTTACTGTTAGTTATGTTAGTTTACTGTTAGTTAAATTTACTTACGTGAGACAAAAGAAGTTAGTATCAAACTTTGCAGGAAAAACAATTCACAGCATATAATGTGAACATATAATATACATTATATATATAATATATATAACATATAATAATATAAAGTGCTGAGCATTATTTTGCAGAAAGCTTAGGAGCTGCGAGAGACGCTCTGCCTTAAGAACTGATGGTGCAGCTATGTTAAGTGCAAACTAACTAGTAGTTACTAAGCCTCTAGTGTGGACTTTACGTTCCAGTGTAAGTTAACTTCTGAATGGCTGGTGCAAACCAACCCTGTAATCTGCTTCTGCTGTGATCAGGGAAAGTTACTACAATATTGTGTTACTCCATAAAATAAGTAACTAATTGCATTACCTAGTTACTTTTAATAGAAAATAATGCATTGCATTACTTTTGAGTTACTTTTTGTCACCTGGGCTGGGCTTTCTTATTTGTTTTTTTAAAAACCCAAAGGTTATATTTTTGGCGACGGTAAAGGCCCTTTCACACCGAAAGTAAAGTGAATAAGCCTCAGGCTGAAGAAAGAACCTCTGTAACTTGCATTACTTACATGAAAAAGTAACTCAGATATTTCACTGTAAATTGAAAAGTAATGCACTACTTTACTAGTTACTTGAAAGCAGTAATCTGATTACGTAACTCGTGTTACTTGTAATGCGTTAACCCAGCACTGGCTGTGATTGTTACAGCTTTCATAACATAATCATCATTTGCTAAAATAAATCAAATGAATCAAACTGAATTTAGATTTCCAGTATTCCAGTGCTTCCAGTATTGGTGTGATCAGATTGATATGACAGTAAAAAACTCCAATACTGGCTGATAATTACATGAGCACAGTGTTTTGGATCCGTACTGAAAATCCCAGTGAAACGTGTTGAAGGTTTAGATGCAGAGAGACCCTGAGAGCTCGGGCTGCTAGTGTCATCACTGCTAACTCTCTCT